GGAGTTTCTTCTACAAATTCACTGGCTGCTGGGATGAAGGATGAAAGAGTGGGTAAGGCCGTGTGGGAGAAGGACAGACACCTTCACCACAAAGAGTAACACAGGGGAGTCACAGGCTGCCAGTGGGAGTCATTCAGGGGAAGGTTGAAGGGTCTCTGGTAAAGAGACTTGAGCAGCTCGTCGGATTCACTTGTTTGGCACTAACGTAAAAGGTGGTAACGGTATTACTCGTAGATCAGGTAAAACACTTAATAAGGTTGGATTAACATATATATTCAGGTAATTTGTTTCTCTGGAACACTACAAACACAGGTATATAAATAATTTCCGGATTCTAGCTTAACAAATTGTCCTAATGTGTAAAAAAAAAAATATCTAACAAATTAATCTTAATTTTATTACTAGTGAAACCAATTTCATCATTGTTATTAAATATGTTATTAATGAATTCCTATAAACATTACGAAGCATAAGGGAGGTGTATGGTTCAGCAATAATACAACGTTTCCTTCAATTTATATTTTACAGAACAATACGATAATACGCCGAGCAGAAAATGAATGTATAATCTGCAAATTTAAGAAAAGTCATATGTAGAAACAAGCAGGAGTGCCAGGAGAGACTGCCAATTTGGAGAGGTGCCATGAATGAAATATGAGAGGGGAGGTTGTCTGTGTGTATGGGGCGTGCATAATGTACCGGTGGCAAGAGATAAAATATCGAGTAATGTCTTTGAATTCAGACAGGATCGAGATGAGAAACTGGAATTCATCTGAGTAATCCCAGAGGATGTAGTAGTGAAATGGAAACACAAGAAAAATAATGAAGATCCAAAGAAAATACCCATGAAACGGAAATGAGGACAAAAACCATTATCATTCTCTTCCAAGACCAATTTAATTTTATCCACTTGTCAAATTTAGTCGAAAATCCATAACTATTTTGTGAATGCAATAATTAGAAAATCGTTGTATTCACAAAATCGGTCGCGCATCCTCACAGGAAAACAAAAGCTGCCATAATTCCTCAAAATAAGGACAAAGAATTAATCTCTATCGATGAAAAAAAAACACCTCTGGACCACCATGGCAGCTTATCCACTGGACCACGACTGTAAGCTACTTTCTTGCAGCTCAAGGTTCCCTGCCCACCACTGTGGGCCTTGATGGGTTGGGGCAGCCTGCCCACATTCCGGACATACTAAGCACTGATCCGCTGACGCGGCCGCACCTGCCAAGGCCAATCTGTCGGTCTTCCCCTATCTCCTCCTCCCCACCAGGATTTATCAACATCCTCCCACCAACAACACATCACCATCATCATCCACAGGACTCCAGACACTTGCCGGTAAATCATCCAGAGAGAAGAGGTAGTACAACATCATCCATGAGAACATTATCATCATCCAAAGGCCCAAGGCACCAGACCCAACACCGCCACCAGTAGGTTTCCGCTGTGTGTAGCTTAACTATGAGCTTAGTGAAGATAATGATGATGATGATGATGATGGTGATTACTTACTGCAGAATAATGATTATGTACGTTGTGATACACCATCACTCTCTGTAACTTACCACTATAGGCATCTTCGCTGTCCATTATAGAATATATATACAGTATATTCTATAAAGCGTATTCCTATATTTTCTATATCCAATAGTTCTATATTAACTTATGAATAATTTACAGCTCTACAGCGATGAGTAGTGTTACTCATATAACATTAATTTGGGCAAATGTTTTTACATCATAACACCAGCATGATCGGTCGCTGCCTGGTCCTGCCATCAATAAATCAAAGAACTGGTCGCCGCAGTAATTCCTCTCATCTGCGAAAATTTCGTAGCAATCAGTTATTAATCATGGAAGCTTATTAGTGTGGAATTACAATCACCAATGACATGTGACTTTAACCTCTGTTTGATGTTAACCCAAATTATGCAAATATTCAGGTAAGAGCGGAACAAAATTGTGGACGCTAGCAAATGAATACATAAACTAAACGAGGAGAAAGATTTCGATTTCAACAAATAACAAGAGAGAAACAGGTCACGTTGATGCCCTCTTTCTTGATGACTGTTTGCTCCCTCGATTAATCAACCTAATATTACAACAGTAAATCTATTCTACAGGGTAAATTCGTATCATCATTTTAATAACAAATTCACTTCTCTTAGTAACAGATAAATTTCTCACACGTTTGCGCATTATACATTTCTTTCTCTTTCAAGCGACTCTGCCAATTTTTATCACACGGAATAATTTTGTATTTTTGTCTGGGCTCACACAGGATCCCGTGACAGTGTCTCAAGGTTGTATCTAACGCTGACGCAGCATCAATGTTCAGGCAACCTTTGAGGAAGTCGTCCAACAACATCTTATGTATTTGCAATAAGGTCACCGTTTAGTGGACAAGAGAAATACTTTTATCTTTGCCTGACCTGTAACCAAGGTCTTAAAAAAGTTAGTTCTTCTTCACGCACCACTGACGGGTGTCACATTGTGGAAAGTTAACAGCAAAACTCACTGAACCGGAACTAGCTCTAATGTATACAGTGGATAGTACTAGTATTGTACTTTGCCCTTGACATTTGCATGTCACCTCACCAAGGACACAGACCTTCCAGGGCGCACACCACAGCTCACCACCTGAAGGTCACTTGTCATACACCTTCGACATGGTGTATGAGAGACATGAGTTTTCTGAAGACAGTCTTAACGTTATTTTAAATGATTCTTGCACTCTCTTTTTACACATGTCTTTCTTCTTTGTATACTTTCAGGCATAGCATTAATTTTAAGCCCCGAGGCCTCGTGGTAATATAAGCGTTCATCCTCTCCCCTCCACCCCTTTACTACCCTCAATCATCACCATTTTAGGTAAACTCGTGGTCCTTCCCCGCCACTTAATCCCCTCGGGGCCGTCGCTCGGAAATATCGTCCCTCCGTTCCTTCCTCGCAAGTGCCAGAATCCTGAAGGAGTCGGTGGCAAGCATCACTCCATCAGGGACATGCGAGAGCCAACGAGCACAATGTCGTTAGTGGTTTCTTACTGCCCATTTGGTGAGGATATTTTCCAGGTGGGTTCAACTACCTCATTTGCGGCTCAGGGTGCGTTGGCATGTCCTCATATCATGCCGGCGCAGCAACGCTCTTTACTCCTTGCTTATATCCTGCCAAGACAACGCCGGAGGAGGAGGGTTGCCACTAGTTATTTTGTGGGTGGATTGGTGGGCGTGGCTGAGCTGTGGGTACTGCTAGTACATTATATTTATTATTCTGTGGGAACATAGCTCAGAGCTCCTCTGTAATTGGACCGAACTTATTTTGTGTGTGTGTGTGTGTGTGTGTGTGTGTTACAGCAACTGAAGTGATCACATCTAACAAACTGTAATTATTACTTATTTTAAAAAAAAATATTTTATTTACATAAAATACCAAAACCAACATTTCACTATTATTATGTACCTGTACATGTTCTATATGACAATTGGGATGCCTTAATACCTTGGGGAGACTGACGTTGCATTTACACAGTCGTCAAGAGTGCTGATAGCTGTTGCTGCTTCTCTGTTTTGTTGTCGGGTGCGGTAGAGGTGATGTACTGTACACAAGAGGATTCAAGAAGCCAGGAGGATTGGTGTGCGGACGTTATGTTACATGAGTCGCTGAGTATATATCTCGTTCTAATTTGTTCCGACTCCTATGACGTCACCCAATTCGGAGCTGGCAGTAGGTGAGCCACTCTTAGGAAGACGTTCTTCTGTGATGCCTCTATGACAAGAGTACTCTCTCTGACGTTACAACCTACCCTCGATGTGAAATCTTGCCATCCGAAGTTCAAAGTTCACAAGAGTTTATGCACCCTTCAAACCGCGTCGGTAAATGATCCATGTTCCGTAGCGGTTAAAACATCGATTAAAGACAAACGGTTGGCTACACTTGGTGCGAGTCTTGATGCTATGATCGTCAACCACGCGGAGCTTTGCGAGTCGCGAATCCAAAAACAACAGTTGCGGTCTGGCTCCTCTGTGAACCTGTGTTGTGCTTCTGGCGCGGTGGGCGTGGCAGGACTCCGGGTGGAGGAGTTATATGGTCTGTATTTTTGTGCGGACACGCCTCAAAACTGCCGGGCTAGTTTATTGAGCTACAAATTAAAACTAGATGGAATACGATTTTTGGAATTTCAGTATAAAATAAACAGATTTTATTTTGCACATTTTCTGCTAACTGGTGTAAGATAAAGGTAGAAATGCAAATCACCAGAATTGAGCTGAAAAATATGGAAAAGTAAAATATAAAATCACTGGTGGAGGTTCACTAGAAGAACTTATGATGAGATACTGGTGAAAATAACGTGGATCTGGAGGTACAGGTACACTAGCAAAGGCAGGTACACATGGAGGGAACAAACAGGTACACAAGAAGGTATAAGTCAATCAGTCAATCGTCAATCAAGAGTACCTTCCTTATATCTGAGGGTTGGCGACCACAGTCCTCCACTCTAATCGTTCTCGGGTTGTTTTTACCAATCCTCCAAGTTTGTAATTTAATTCAATCATTCCAGTCTCTGCCTTCCTTAGGCCCTTTTACCTTCACAATCTCCCGTTAATATTTCTGTTTTTACCTCCTCATCCCTAATTAGATGGCCAAAATATCATATTTTCATTTTGCTGTACAATACAAGTGTTTCTCTTGATGTTTTTGCTGATCTTAATACTTCTTTATTTGATTCCCTGTCAGTTTAGCTTTGTTCTTAGTATTCGCCTATAACACCACATTTCAAAGGCCTCCAACCTCTCTCTGGTGATGTTAATAACTGGAGAAGGTGGAGTTAATGATGGAGGGTGGAGTTAATGATGGAGGGTGGAGTTGATGATGGAGGAGGTGGAGTTGATGATGGAGGAGGTGGAGTTGATGATGGAGGAGGTGGAGTTTCAGGTACAAGTGGAGGAGTAAGTGGTAATGCGAATAACAGAAATCCAAGTTCTAACACTCACTGTACAGCTCAAGGTAGAGGGTGGTAGAGAGGGGCTCGGTGATGTTGTTGTTGGAGGCGCGGCAGGTGATGTTGGCGTGGGCGTAGTCCCTAGTGAGGGTGGGAATCAACAGGATGGTCCTCACGTAGCGCACGCCTACGCCCACGCCAACGGTGTGTACTACGTCGTCGCCTTCTTCATGTGACGCCAGCAACGTTCCGTCCTCCCCCACAGCCACACTACGGTTGGACAGCAGTTTTGAACCTTTCCACCAGCTCACCTCTGGGGGCGGCCGACCTGTGTCATTGACAAGAGGGAGAAGGTTAGCTACCAGGTCATGGCGGGGGGCGGGGGGTTAACCTGTGACCCAGAGAAAGGGAGAGGTTAAAGTGACCTGCGAACTAAGAAAGGAGTTAGGAAAAAGGAGGGACGGGGGGTAGGGGTTAATTATCAAGTCACGAAGTTAATGACTCCAGAAATGTAAAGCTGATTTTGTGTTGTAATCTGGGTCGGTGTGAGTTTCTGGGGTGATGTGGAGAGATATGTGGTATTACTGGCAGCTGTGTGTGTGTGTGTGTGTGTGTGTGTGTGTGTGTGTGTGTGTGTGTGTGTGTGTGTGTGTGTGTGTGTGTGTGTGTGTCGCCTGCTTCCTAATTTTATCTAATATTTTTGCAACAAAGGTCGATGTGTGAATCCGCCTCGATTATTCCCTGACTGAGTTGATTGTATCGTGTTTACATCTTATGTTATCTCCATTACAACAGTCTTAGAGATATTAGGAGTAAGTTATCATTGTTAAGCCAAAAATATTTAACTTTGAAATTTTCTGAAATATATCTTATAAACTGTATGTAAGAATTTCAATAAAACTTACTTTTAAAATAACCCGATTCAGAAAGTTTTAAAAGCCGATTTAAATTTCTACAAAACTCTTTTATTTTCCTATCCTCATTGTCTGCCTGTCTTTACCATCTTAAAAACGAGTCAGTAGTATATGCACTTTCACCCTTTTTTCTCGGTGATGTATAACAAAACTTAATGTATATACACTTTAAAAGTCTTAATCCTATCTATCTCCTGACCAAGTGTAAGGACTGCCCTCTCTCCAACACATGTTTCATACAAGTCAAAAAATAACCTAAAATATCTACAAACTACTCCTCCAAGGCTGACTTAAACAGCGCCACACAACTTTGACAGACAACCGAAACCTTCTGAAACATTTCCTGACTTCTTTCCAGAATATATTAAAAAAAAATCGGTATATTTTCTCGTATTTGTTATTCGTTTTTCTCGACCAACCTTCTTCAGGCCCCTGGAGAAGAACTTCCTTAAGTTTTTCTAAACCTTCCTGTGAAAGCATGCTTGAAGTACCGGCGAAAGTTTCTTAATCACCAAACTCTATCCTGCAGACTAATTCAAACTGTTGCAGAACTGTCTTAAGAACATCTATTTCTCAATTCCATCCTTGCTTTATACATCTAAAAAAATTTTTTTTTTATTTTCATCACTTCTAAAACTCTCTTAGAGCATCTTCAAAACACATTTCAAGACATGCTTCAAACGCAGCTTTGAATCACTTTGGAAGATATGAACCTTCTACCCAAGACCACTTCCATCACCCCTAGAACCTCTGAACTGTATGAAATATCAATAAAACTTTCTGAAACATGTTTATACCTTCCTTCCTTCCTAGACTGAGATAAGCACATCTAAAATCCGTTAACATCACCTACCTCCCCCCCCCCTCCCAGGGCCTTTCCAAACACCCATGAAACAATTTCAAGCCTCTAAGAGCCTGTTTTACTCTAACCTTCCCTTAAAGACAGATTCAAACACGTCCGAAATACACTGAAACAGTTCGAAAACCATCCCTAAAGACTGTTTTAAATTACTCTGAAAACTCAATGATCCTCCTCCAACCACAGTCACAAGGCTGCTTCAAACACCTCTGAAACACCTCCAAATATTATCTCAACCTCTGCTTCAAATACTTCGGAAACCCAACAGATATATTTTCAATTCCCGCCATGGCTATTTCCAGCACCCCAGGAACTATCTGAAACACCCTCACACCAGACTTCTTCATACACCTTTGAATTACCCCCTCCCTCCCCCAGACCTTTCCTCCAAGACTTTGAAAGACCCACGAATATTTTCCCCCCGTCTGTCTGTCTGTCTGTCTGTCTGTCTCACAAACTGTTGTAGTCATAGATATAATTCACAGACCATCCTCGGAGGCTTCAACAGAAACCTTAGCGTCTGGTTCAATCAACAGCTCCCCCGGAAGCTATTCGTTACCCTCTACACGTCTCCAGTAAGTTCTCTGCCAATATTCCCCGCTCATAAACTAGCTGAAGCCCACACCTTCGCCGCCCAACTTCCCGCTGGTTTCCTTCATTATCCTCTGGGCCCTCTTTCCCTTCTCCTATTGCCCTCGTTCTTCCGTTTTCATCCGTCGTTGTTATTCCCCTTTCAACCATTGCCTGGCCTCACTTCTCACCGGCCTTCACAGGTTAATGCCAACTCGTCTTCCCTATCTTCCTAACCTGGCTATCAGCTAACATAATATAGAGATAATAATATCCATCATTAATAACAATCCTACGTCATCCAAGTGAGTATAACAAGATGTAGGTGAGTCTACATGGCCAAGGTGAACCTACATAACCGAAGCGAACCTACATGACCTAGGTGACCTTCCGGTGACTCATATCGCCCCCTTCCCCTTACTGTGACTCACCTCCAGAAGCAATGCAGTAGAGAGTGAGAGAGTCTCCCTGCGTCAGCGACCTCAAGACTCCTCCGTGGATAGGGCGGCTGTTAGCGTCCAGGACCACCATACGGGACGGTACGACTGTGGGGAAGACGGTAGTTAGCATAGTTAAAGACGTAACAACAATGTAAATAAACAAATAATAATAATGATAATAATAATAATAATAATAATAATAATAATAATAATAATAATAATAATAATAATAATAATAATAATAATAATAATAAAGACCACTGGACTATAATTCACGAAACGCCAAAAGAACTCAAATATAAAGAAAGACAGAGGACTGTAGACGGTACCAGGTAATTTGACAAAACTTCCCCAAAGACAATATGTTTATCTTTTCTCCCTAAAACTTTCTCCGGCCCTGATCTATCTAGCTCCTCCGGGATCGCCCTGTCTGAGAACTAATAAACCTTTGTAAATAAAACGAAAATATTTTGCAATTTTCTAGTTTTCATAAATACAATAGCTACAGGAAGTTTCGTCGCAGCTACCCAGGAGCAGTAGTTGGAGGGTCGAGCTGTTCCTCTGTAAATAAATTAAATAACAATACAAGATGTCAGTCGCTCTGTAGTTTTCCGAGACTTGTGTCAAATAACGAAATATTTGTTTAACAAAATTTGACTAAAAATTCAAGACAGTATTCACATGCCTCAACAATGTCCACGAGTATATTTTACCTACCGACACTTTTCATACCCACTACTACTACTACTACTACTACTACTACTACTATTGCTCCAACTACTACTGCTACTATACTAATACTACCACTGCAGCTGCTACTAATACTACCACTGCTACTATTACAGGTACTACTACTACAACTACTACTCAAATTCTTGAAAGTAACAGACATTTCTTGCAAAACAGCGGAGTAAAATTTCCATATCCAAGAGTATAACAACTGTTATATAACAGATGAAAAACGCTGATCACCAAACTCAACCAAGACGTTTATGATGAAGTTGAGAAATTATGTTCCACTTCGAAAAACAAAACCTTTCTAGAGAGAGCATAGAGAGAGAGAGAGAGATCATTTCATACCGACAGATTGAAAGGAAGAGCCATACTACTTGTATTCCATAATCCGAAGGTATTAAAATCATCGGTGTAGTGAAAGGCAAAATAAACGTATAATGCAATGGAAGACAAAACCAGAGTACCACTTGAGGACTATAAGACAAACCCTACATACAGTTGATGTTGTGGAAGATAAAATGAAACCCAGTGTTGATGCAGTAGGGGAAGGGCGAGATGGACCCACAACAGCTGTTATTCCACACCATATTGATGCTGTTCTGTCTCAGTCACTGTCTCTCACTGTCTCCTACCTACCGTGACTGCCACTACCTCTCAACGTCTCCCTATACCGTCTGTCACTACCTCCTCACTATTTAGCACAGCCCTGACACCATTTCTTCCAGCGATCATCAACACCCACCCCCTGAGCCCCGTGTGTGTGTGAGACCAAGACCAAAGTAATGCAGCAACTTATTAACACATGGCACAGTATACATCTCCACTACTTGGGCATTTAACTCCCCCACCACCCCTTCTTTTTTCCCTCTTTTCTCCTCTCCTTCCTTCCCTCCTCTCCTCTCACCCTTCCCACTCCTCACTTATTTTCACTCTCTCCCTCCTTTCAATCTCACTTTACCTCCACTTTCCCCTCCCCTCTCCTATCTCTCTCTTGCTTCTTTTCACACATCAACGTCCTCCTCTCCCTTCCCCTCCTCTACTTTTCCCACTTTCCTTTCCTCTTCCCTCTATTCTCCCTTCTCTCCTCTTTTCATTTCTCTCCCCTCTTTTGTCTCCTCCTTTTCTCTCTCCTCTCCTCTTCTCTCTTTCGTTCTCTTTCATTTCCCCCCTCTTTCTCCCCTCCCCTTTCTCCATTCCCGTCATCCTTCCCTCTCCTCACTCAAGATTACTCGCTCTATCCTCTCAATCACACTTTACTTCTTCTATTCTTCCCCTCTATTCTCTCACTTATCTCTCCCTATTTTATCTTGTAATTTCTTCTCACTTTCTCCTCATCCTCTCTCCACGCCATTCTCACACTCCTTCCATTCCTCCCTTCCTCTTTCCCTTTCCCTTCTGTCTCCCATTCTTACCTCAACTTCACGGCTCTTTCTTTCTCTTCCCTCTATTCTCCCGTTTCTTCGTCCCTCACACACGCTGGCGTCTGAAGGAAGGTACAAGGAAGAGGGGAGAACGATGGAGGAAGCCAAAGAGGGTATAAGAGAGGAGGAAGAGGGATGGACGAAGGTAAACAGTACTTGGAGAAAGGGAAAGAGGGCAGAAAATGAGAGCAGCGGAGAGTTAGAAACATGGAGAGGAGGGAGGGGATATAAAAGGGAAGGAAAGGTGAGGAAGATGGACTGATGTAGATGTGGGAGGGGATGGAAGGGGTAGAGGTGTGTAGCAGTGCAGGGGAATATGTCACAGTGGATCAGGGTGGTTCTAGGTAGGTAGTGGGCACAGTAATCCCAGGTGTCCGATATTAAGGGAAGAGAATGTTGGGTGGGACGTGAATCGTGGTAGCTGTCTGGGGATGGTTGACATGAAAGAGCTTCTCATTTAAGAGTAGTATATAACTCTAATCGTATATTGTACATGCTAAATGATCTACCTTGTGACCTAGTCGTGTTGAGACACGTATATTCGTTACACACACACACACACACACACACACACACACACACACACACAGAAGGTTAACTGCGTATATATTTAAGTCATAAACCTTTCTTATGCTTTATATCTTAATAATTATGTCCTTTCTTGTGATAACTGTGAGAGAAGGATATTGTGTTCATCAGGTTCGTGGTTAAGTCGTCCTGGCTCTAGTAGTGTAGCATCATGTCTTCTGGATTGATATCAGTGAGGACATTAAGTAAGGTATCGCGTGGTCGACTTGTGAAAAACTCATATCGGCGACGTGTATTTTTTTCTGAGAAGCTATCTGGGGCAGTGCGAAGGTGGTGGAATGAGGGGATGAGAAGAGGTGGGAGGAGGGGATGAGAGTAGGTGAGCATTGAGGTGTGGAAGTAATGAAGAAGAGAGAGTGGGGGGGGGAGGGTGTGTATTGAGGTGGTGTGGAGGTACGAGGAGGTATCAGGGGGAGTGGAAGTGTAAGGAGGACCCGGAGCAGGAGCATCAGGAGGAGGAGGAGGAGGTAGCGGGTACATTAGAGGCAGGACTGGCAGGTGGGAGGGGCAGCTGCCACACCACAGTCTACCAGAGTTTACACAAAACATTAGTGAACCATGACGCTACTCTCTCGTCCTTCTGTGTTCCTTTTGCCCTTCTCTCTCCTTCTCTCTCCTTCTCTCTCCTTCTCTCAGCTTGTTTATGTCTCTCTCCTCGTCTATGTGTCTCTGTCTCTATGTTTGTCTCCCTATGTCTCCATCTGAGTCTTTCTGTCTACGTTTCTCTGTCCCTTTCTCTGTTTCACTCCTTGTTTCCTACTGTCCGTTTCTATGGCGTTATCTTTGTGTCCGTCTCTTCCTCTATCGGCGCCTCACACACACACGGAAACCTTCACCTACTGCAATCCCTCCAGCACACACTTACGTCTTGACCCATTTGACAGCATCACATCTTCAAGTGACGGGATCAAGAATTTCACCCTAAAGTTATACGAACCGTGAACTAACACATACGTGGTCTGTAAATAATACCTCGTACATACAACTTACGTGCACGGCTGTAGAGGTTATCTCGTGTGTAGAACAGGCATAAAGAAGTAATTTCACGCATATAAATAGCATATAAAGATCATTACGTGTATATAACTTACATATAGAGATAAATTCATGTGTATAGCCCACATATATGAAGGCAATTGTTGTAGGAGTGCAGGAGATAAACTCGTAAGCTAAGACTGCTCTCTTTCGCTCTGTCTCTCTCTACACATAGACGTATCTTTATCTATCAATCTCTTTCTCTCTCTCTTCTCTCTCTCTTTATTCCTCCCTTCCTCTCAGTTTCTCTATATCTCTAGCACTTTATCTCCATTCTAAAGCGAGTATATCATGCACGGTGCTACAGTTTGCGTGCTACTGGGAAAGGAAATAGCACGGGGACCATTCTGTTCTGGTTATGATGTCCAGTTACGTAGAAAGACCATGAGAGAGAGAGAGAGAGAGAGAGAGAGAGAGAGAGAGAGAGAGAGAGAGAGAGAGAGAGAGAGAGAGAGATTTTTGAAGAAGTTTGGCATATTTCGTGATATTAACATTAAGTCCTTCAAACCTTGGAATATTTCTTCAGATATACTGTATACCTTTTGGAATACTCCTAAAAGAATGTAGAAAATTATAGAATATTCCTAAAGACCAATAGAAACTTTTGAAATACTTATACAAAACCTAACAAGAGCGTTGGGATTCTCGATGATGTAATGTGGAAACTTTTGGAATACTCGGTGTTACGGACATTAAGGATAAGTCTACTAAGTTGGGCACACACCGCGCCTGTAAGAGGACCCGTGAGAGGTGACAGCCTCCGATGAGACACACGGGTGACGCACCTTCGACGAGCTCATTCCCTGAGTTTTAGTGCGTCGTAATGCACTTGTTGCACACCCGAGCCTGCCATCTCCGCCCCTTAGTGGAGGTGAGGAGGAGAATGATGCACTGATATCAATCCTTTTAGCTCACTGAGGTTGTGTTTCCCGAGACATACTATTTGCTTGTCTGCCAGCCTGTCTGTCTAATTGTTGGCTTTTCTTTCATTACTTAAAAGAGTTTTTGCAAGGTGGAGCTATAGATGCTGATAATAAAGGAATACGCTATTGATTATCACCTTACTTGTACTGTAAATAAATATTCCGTGTCTATTACTGACTGACGATGGGTGAATGTGATGAAAGAAAAGGTTCTGTGGAGGAGGAGGCAACTTTCTCAATACGTTACTTCAGGTATAGAGCACTGTACACAAGTCATCCTCCCTCTCACACCATAATAACACAATGATCGATGCAGTAAGGACAACAACAGAAGCGTCTCCTTCAGAATTATCGTAGAGCAGAAGCCGTCTTCTTGTCTCTGAACCACACGCTGGCTGGCTGG